TCATGTTCTCTGTCCTTAGAGCTTTCACCGTGGTATCCCTTATACCTAGAAGACTCTCTCCCCTGCCCTAACTCGTATCTGTACTGTCAGGTTGTCTTTGCCTGGCTAACTTCTCTTTCTTCAAGCCTCATTTCTCCTGGAGGCCCTTCCTGAACCTCAATTGCATCCCAGTCTATCACCTAGAGCAGCCTGACTCTATTGTAACTGCCAGAATACTTGCCTGTCTCGCTTGTTCGACTGTAAGCTTGTTGAGGGCAGAAACCATCACAGTCACCAGTACCTAGCACAGTGCCTAGTAACTTGGGGGAAGAATGCTCTTATTTACATGACATATATATATACACACACATGAAATGTATTGAGAACCTAACCTGTGCCCAGTGTTACCCAGGCCTAATTCTTTCAATCTTTTGAGGCCTAGCCTCGCTTTGTGAGGTCTCGCTAATCCCCTATGGCATTGGTGGTAATAATAACATTAATAATTAAGAAGTATTAACTACTGATAACAAACTAGACAATACTTTTGTGTGCTTCCCATGTGTTAACTCACTCAATCCTATTTCAAAAGGAGCTTTTGAATCAGGCAGCCCTGGGTTCTAACCCAGTCTTCACCACTTACCAGGTATATGTGACCATGGGCAAGTCACTAACAGTCTCTGAGCCTTTGTTCTTTACCACATCTGTGAAATATGGGTAAATAATAATACATGATCCATTAGACTGTTGTGAGAATTCATGTATATGGTGAGAACTCCATACACTAGTAGATGTTATTACAATACTGTAAACTGTAATAAGTTCTTTCACCTTTGTTCCATGGCATAGGCATTCAAACGTTGTTTAGCAATAAAACTGGATATTCCTAAAATAATTGCCATCATATTTTAAAATGGGGATGGCTTCTTTTGTACCCCCTCACAAGAGCCTTACTGAAAGCATCTGAACGTTCTCTGAGCACACATTAACTGAATTTTTTGTGAGGTAAGGAGTTGCGGATTAAGAAGTCCTCCAGGAGACGGCCTGATAGTTGAGATTTGAAAGGGACTCTGCCCTGCTAGTAAGGCCATAATCTGTACTTACTGATGGTTAAGTCAGTTGTTCAATTAGTCTTTATTGTGTGCCAGGCAAAGTGCTGGACTCTGGGGACAGCTGTGGTCCCTGGGTTGGTGGAGCTGATCCATGGGGCGTAAAGACAGATATTGATATATTGTTAATTACACTTGTGAGGTGTGTCCCAGAGGAGAGGAATACCATGCCCTGAGAGCCAATTCCAACAGAGACTGCTCATCTGGTCCCCAGAGGGAGTAATACTGCCTAGGAGGTCTGAAGACCGGGGTAGACAGAGGACAGTTAGGAGCATCCCAGATGGCGGGAGTGTGTGTGGATGTCAGAGGCTAGGTGGGCAGGAGAAGCTTGGCCTGCTGTCACAGTGATCAGGAATGGACTGGTGCACCTGCTGCTTTGAAGGGGTAGAGAATCAGGGCTGGAGAAACACTGATGGGCTATTTCCTGCCTGGCCTGAGATACTTCTGAGTGAGCGCTGCTCTTTCCTTCAGCCTCCTCCTCTCTGGCATTTATACCTGCTCAAGGTCCTCCCACCCTGGAAACGTTTCTCCTACTGTCCTGTGCCCAAGGTATGATGCTTTCTCCTCTCCAGCACAGCTAAGCCATTCATTCATTTCTTCCTTCCTTCATTCACTCCTTTCTCTTCACAAATACCAAAACCCATTGCCGTTGAGTTGATTCCTACTCATAGTGACCCTACAGAACAGAGTAAAACTGTCCCATGGGATTTCCAAGGCTATAAACTTTATGGATTTGGACTGCCATGTCCTTCTCCAGGGGAGAAACTGGTAGGTTGGAACCGCTGACCTTTCAGTTAGTGGCTGAGCCCTTAACCACTGTGGCACCAGGGCTCCTATTCACAAATAAGGCATATAAAACTTGCATATAAGAAAGACAGAAAAATAAAAATTTAGACTACCCAGAGGCAACTTGCTATTAAATTTTGGATCCATCCTTCCAGGTTTTCTTTGAGATATATATTTTAAAACTTTTTCTTCTTTTTATTGAGGTAAAATTCACATAAATATAAAATTAACCATTTTAAAGTGTGCAATTCAGTGGTATTTAGTACATTCACAATGTTGTGCAATCACCACCTCTCTCTAGTTCCAGAACATTTTCATCACCCACAAAACCCTAACAGCAGTCACTTCCTATTTCTCACTCTCCCCAGCCCCAGGGAACCACTGATCTACTTTCTGTCTCTCTGGATTTGCATATTCTGGACATTTCATATAAATGGAATCATCCAATATTTGTACTTTTGTGTCTAGCTTCTTTCCTAATGTTTTCAAAGTTCATCCATCTTGTAGCATGCATCAGTACTTCATTCCTTTTTTAAAATTTTATTTTGTTGTGGTAAAATATATATAACAAACATTTGCCATTTTAATCATTTTTAAGTGTACAATTCAGTGACATGAAACATTTTTATGCATTAAAAGGATACAGGATACACTGTATGTAAACGGCATTTAAAAAAACTTTAATATGCTACTAATATTTTGTCACATTTAAACATCTATATAACAACACTTTTAATGGCAACCAGTAATTGTACCATGTATCAGAAATATGCAAGCAAATGCCTACTGTCCATTCATTCTCAAATATTTAGTGGGCACCTGTTGGGTTCCAGGCCTTTGCTTGGATGTTAAGGCTGACAGCAGTATCTTACTATTACAATAGTAACACTATCATTATTATTTTATAATTTATTTTTATTGCTGTTGAGAATATACATAACAAAAACATACACCAATTCAAGTTGTACAATTCTATGACATTGATTACATTCTTCAAGTTGTACAACCATTCTCATCCTCCTTTTTTGAGTTGTTCCTCTCCCATTACCATAAACTCACTTCCCCCTGAGCTTTCTATCTAATCTTTCAAGTTGCTGTTGTTACCTTGATCCCATATAAATATATCTTAAAAGAACATGGAAATCCTGGTAGCATAGTGGTTAAGTGCTATGGCTGTTAACCAAAAGGTCAGCAGTTCAAATCTATCAGGTGCTCCTTGGAAACTCTATGGGGCAGTTCCACTCTGTTCTGTGGGCTTTGACTTGACAGCAATGGGCTTGGCTTTAAAAGAGCATAATGCTCAAGACAGACATTCCTTACTAGTTAAGTTAAACTGTTATTTGGTTTTAAGAAGACTTCAGGGGATATTTTTGGTTTAGGATTTAAAGATTATTTTAGGGCAATAGTTTGGGGAGGTTTGATAATAATACTATTATTAATGAATATCCTTGGGACGGATCATATCCTTAGGGTGGCTCAATTTGCATGTGTATCTGTTACTATTGCCTCAGGAAAAATTCCCAGAAATGGGATTTCTGGATTAAAAAGCAGGTAAACTTTAAGGCTAAATTACTCACTCTCCAGTTAAGATTTACTAATTTACATTCACACCTGCTTCCTGTGTTTAGCTTCCCAGTATAGTAATGGCCATTACTTTTTCTACCTCAACGCTTTGTGGTCTGGTTTTTGTCCTCACTACTTCAGTGAAATTGTTCTTTCTGTGGCCACCAGATATCACTCAAAATGTCCATTTCCATTATCCCTTTTCTGGCCTTATCTTTATTTACCTGCTTGTAGCATTTAATACCTTGGACCATGCTTCTCTTCCCAAAATGTTCTCCTTTTTTGGTCAGGTAGAGCTGGTCTAGTCTTATTACCCTTATTTTTCAGCTAGGAAACCCAGGCCCTGAGAAGTACCAAGCCTGTTAAAAAATGCATAATATTGGAAGACATAATATTGTCCAGGCTTCAAATGCAGGCCTCCGGACTCCCATAGCCCTGAGCTTCTTTTTGAATCTGATCTTTGGAATCCTTGGTGATGTCTGCAAATTCTTCTAGTGTTAAGAGGGCCTCACAAGGAGAATTTTGTCTAGTTCTATTTTCTTTCTAGAAAGAAATTTTTGTTGCATTCCATTCTTTCCAGTGTTGCTAATCTTATCGGTCCTCTTGGCCTTGGCTGGAACAGGGTCCTAATGAGGAGAACCCTGTGGCAGAGCAGTGCAGAGGGGCCCCCAACTGGGCAGGTTTCCATCCATGAGAGTTCACAGATGAGAGGACTCGGCCCAGAGATGTGGCCGGGGATTTCTACCGAGAGGCTCAGAACAGGGTTTTGGGGTTAGGCAGCCCTTCTGTGGGGTGTTAGACAAATGTAACTTCAGCTTTAGTGGATGATTTTGGACGGTTACTTCTCTGACCATCAGCATCCTTGTACGACATACGTATTAATTGCTTCTTCGGGGCATTATTGTGAGGATTTAATAAGATAAACATGCATAAAGCTCTGGGTTCACTGCCTGACACACAGTAGACATTCAATAACTGGAAGTTATTCGGGACTTCAGTTTCAATTCGACAGACTTCCTTTTTTTTTTGTATACGACCTCATTTGGCCTTCAAGTATTCAACCATACTTGGAATCCACACACACATATTTTCAAACACCATTCTATTGAGACAAAAACTGAGGACTAGGGGGAAATCACTTGGCTTCCAGGTGGCAGCAAACTTCCTGGATCGCCTGGGAACAGCAACCTACTCTGAGCGCCCCCCTAGGGCCCAGCATTCCCCCGCCCGCCGCGGCCGCAGCCTCCCTCCCTCGCCTCTGCACCTCCGCTCAGCGCCATCTTTGAGCCTGGCACCAGTGCCTTACTCCCGCGCTCCTCTCCGCCAAGGAGTACCCAAACCAGCTTCAGGCTTGCCCTTTATGGGGACATAGTATCGAAAACTTGTAAAGCTTGTCGAACCAGCCAAAAAGAATCATCCACTTCTTACTCCCGGGCCATGAAACAGGCACTGTGACCAATTAAAAAATGGCGCCGCCAGCTTCACATCCCTGGTCCTGCGCTCCTGGAAGCGCGGAGACGACAGTCGTGTCGGAGTGCGCTTGCGCGACTGGGCGGAGCCGTCTCCATGGCAACCCGCGTGCGGTCCGGGCGTTTCAGTCCCGCTCGGAGCCGGGGAACTGAGGCGCTGGCGACGGGCGGAGCTGCGAGCAGCAAGGGCCCCGGGCGGCCCGGGCCGCTGCAGGACGAGACCTTGGGCGTGGTGTCGGTGCCTTCTCAGTGGAGGAGCATCCAGGGTATCCGCGGGGAGACGGTGAGGGCGCGAGCCCGGCGTGGGGCGGCGGGCGCGAGGGCGGGGTCGCCGTGCATCCGCCCGGCCAGGTTTTGATGTCCCATCGTTTAGTTTTTATATTTTGATCCACAGACACTAACCCTTGGTATGCTTTCGTCTAGAGGTTCCCAGACTTTCAACAGCAACAAAAAGTTTTGTGTGTGTGTGTGTGTTTTATTTTTAAACCTCCAAGGATCTCTTACGTTTTAGAAGATTCTGTGTGAATTGCAGTTTTTAGATATTTCAAACTTAACTTTTAGTTTTTTTTTTTTTTTAAAAATGACCAAACTCCATTTTAGGGTCTAGATAAGCCGGTTTTTTAGTTGTTTAGTCAAAAGCACACGAAACTGTGTACTGTAATGGGATGAGGGTCGGGCCTTCTGGGTGCTAGTTTCCCTCGCCAGGCGTTTGTGTGAGTGTGCTGTTCTGGCGCTGGGGATTCATGAGTGAACAAGGCAGAAATAACTTATTTCGTGGCGCTTACACGGGGCCCTTGCAGGGGATAGAAAATAATATATGTAATAAGTAAATTATGTAGTGTGTTAGAAAGTGAATATGTCATGGACAATAGAAAAAAGGGTGAGGGAGTAGGAGGACTGGTTTGGGGAATGGGAAGATGGGTTGCAGGGTGGCCAAGGTGGGCCTCATTGAGAGGCTGGTCTTTGAGCAAAGGCTTGGAGGAGTGAGAGAGTTGGCCAAGTGGGTATCTGGGATACAGTTGTTCAGGCCAGAGCGAATGGCATGGCATGACAAGTGCAAAGGCCCTGGGGCTGGGGCAGTTTTGCTGTGTTTGAGGAGGCGGATGGCAGGGAGGGGAGAGTGGCCTCAGATAAGGTTGGCCAGGCAGGTCAAGTAAGTCTTGTAGATCATGTAAAGACTTTGGCTTTTCCTCTGAGTGAAAAATGAGCATTGCAGGATATTGCATGTTTTTCAGAAGAGAAAACTGAGGCTTAGCTTGCCACACAGGTGATGGAACCTGCAGAGGGCACAGATTCTCACCAACGCGGATGAGGTTTCTATGAAGTCTTACAAAGAGAGGATGGGTTTATTGCCTCAGACCATTCTCCAGGTCTCAAGCCAGAATTTGATTTGGCCTCAAAACACTTCTCACTTCACTGTGCTGTGTAAAATGGTTCTAATCAAAAGCAAAGAAGCCCTGGTCACGAAGTGGATAAGCGTTCCACTGCTAACTGAAAGGCTAGTGGTTCCAACCCACTAGCTGCTCCTGGGAGAAAGGTGTGACAGTCTGCTGCTGAAAACCCTATGGGGCAGTTCTGTTCTGTCGTAGACGGTTGCTGTGAGTTTTAATTGACTCACCGGCAATGGGTTTGGTTTTTTGGTTTAATCAAAATCAAAGGCAGTGAACATTTAGCTTAAATCTGTTCATCCTTACCCCAGGTAAATGAATAATACACATATACTGGCTTTAAAAAATACTCAAAAATAGCTCCTGCATGCTGACCATTCAGATTTTAGAAGACTTCAGATTGGGAACCACTGATTTAGTCTAGCTCTTTTTTTTTTTTTTAACCCCCCTCAGGGAATGAGATTGAGGCTTGTTCATTTTGTAGTAGATAGACAGTGAAACCTCTGAGAGCCAGAACTTGATGGAACTGCCTTGTTTTTCTGAGTCTCCCGAGTTTTCCGTCTTGGGAGTACAGTCTTACCACTTTTCTATCACTCGTTTTAGTGGAAAATATTTTGAGTTTTCCTTCCCTGACACATTTCCGCCTTACGCACAGATTCTCTTTCCCAGGTTTTGCTGTATGTTTAAGAACTGTTTCTAATACTTAGGGTGTAGAGGGTAAATTGAATCAGACCTTCTCCTGTCTGAAGGAGGGGCAGATTCTTTTAAGTTTTAAGAATATTGCAGGGGCCAGAATAAAGTGGTAAGTTGCTTTTTTCAAATTAACTTTTTTATTTTTATAAAAGTAATCCATGTTCTAATTTAGAAGAATCTGGATAAGCTTAAAACTGGAAATAAAAATCACCATCCAGTCTCATTTGCTCACCATTTGGTTTTTATCTGTCCAGTCTCTGTTCATTTGTTTTTTCGCTCATCTTCCCTTAGTTTTTTTTTTTTACAAAAATGGAATCACACTGTGCATAACATTCTGTAAACCCAACTTTTTTCACATAATACATTTAAAGTACATCCATGTTTGAAAATTATTTTTCTGTGACTTTATTTTTAACAAGTCCTTTTTGATGAATGATTTTTCCGTATTTTTTCTATTGTCAGCAATCCTATGAGTGTTGCAGCTAAATTTTTATGTGGTTTCTGAATTATTTTGTTAAGTTCCTTTGGAAAAGTCGAACATTGATCTTTACTTAGCACGTGTAGCAGTGCAAAATTGAGATGTACTTGCATGTTTCAGCGATAGACTTAAAAAAAAAAATTAATGGTATTTGACCTCACTTAACTTTTCTCTTCATCTCCTGATTTGTTCACAGGGAGACACGGGTTTGTGTGGACCCCTAGTATGGGCCAGTCTTGGAATCTCTTTGGCAAAGTGGGTAGTATTATTAGTACTTCTTGTGGGATTAAATGAGATTACTGCTAAAAAAGCAATTGGAAAGCACAGTGCTGTTCAGGTGGGAGGGGTTTTGAGTTCAGCTGTCTGAGATAGAAGGCTCCTAATTTCCCCCTACCTTACCCATCCACTGTCTCTCAAACTTTTCTGACAGTGAATGCCCTGGAGAGTTTTGAAAAGTAAAGATGCATGGGTCCTGCCCCCAGAGATTCTGATTTAATTGGTCCGTGGTCTGACCCTGGAATCGGGTTTTGTGAAAGCTCCCCAGGTGATTCTAATGAGTAGCGAAGTTTAGGAACACTAACAGTGCATCTGTTTCCAGCAGAGTTCTCTTCTAAAGCTCAATTCTGATCCTATCAGAATGTGGGGTGCGTTCTTGAGATTCAGAGCTGTCTCCTAAGGACTGTTAGCTCCCTGAGGGCAGGGAGTGGGTCATCTCCTAAAGGCACCCAGAAAGTGCAGAATTGAATAATTTTCTTGCATCCTTTTATCCCACGTACTTCTGTAGAATTTCTCCCCTTCTGCTCAGACTGAAACTTAGCTGCCCAGCGGCCTGACTGCGGGGAGACTGTAGGTCCTTTGAGGTGAGGCCCTCCCTCATCCTAGACTGCTGGCACCTTCTGGCCTCTGCGTGTTCTACAGCATATGGCACCCCCTGCTGGAGCATGTTTGTCTTTAACCTGGGGTCTGGCCTTTTAGAGATTTTCAAAGGAGAATGAAAGCCATGATACTCAACCTCTTTGAGTTTGCTAGACGGTTTTGACACTAGATTTGTTTCAAGGCACACGCGAAGGAATTTAAAAGACTAAGACGACACCAGAATAGCCTGCAGTAATTACAGCACAAAGGTGGCTGTAGTGTAACAGCATCTCCCAGCTTCTTTGAAAATGTCCGATTACTGCCCTCTTCACTTGATTGCCTTTCAGCTCCAAATCATTCCTTGAGCAGCTGTGTGCTGCCCTCATGCACTCAAGGCAAGTTCAAGTAAACAGGAGATTGTATCTTGGTGTTGGTTCAGTGTTACCCCACACTCTTAGACAATTATCAGCCATATCGCATCACAAAACTCACTCAGCTCAACGTTGCATCTGCCAGGACATTCCCATCACACCGTCTGCTTATTGTCATCAAATGTATTTTACACCATGGTCAGATTTTGTCAGCAGGTTTGCTGTGTGCTGATAAAGAGCTGCTGAATTGGGGTGGGGATTCATCGTCACCTCCAGCACCGCTGAGCAGTCATCAGGTGTGTATGCAGGTTTCTGAAGGAAGGGAGGACTTGGGATTGAAGGGAACCTGAGGAAAAGGGAAATTCTGGAACGGAGGATCAAGGGCACATGAATGGAAGTGGCAAGGTAATGACAAGCCACTCCCACAGGGTTGCACAGCATCCCTTTGGTGAGTTCTTCTTCTGCAGCATTCCTCAGCCCGTGGTGAGTAACCCTGCCCCACCCCAGGTGGAACCCTGTCCCGCAGAGTAGGGCTGGTGGGTGACAAGAGGAGACAGTCAGAAGGGGGGTGATGATGTGAACATTGCCTGTACCGTGCTAGGCATGAAGTTAAGGCATGGAATTAAAAAGGAGGCTTTAGAGATGACGGGCCCTGGGCCCAAAACCCAAACCAGACCTGTTGCTGTTGAGTCGATTCCAGCTCATGGTGACCCCTGTGTTACAGAGTAGAACTGTGCTCCATAGGGTTTTCTTGGTTGTAATCTTCTCGGAAGCAGATCGCTAGGTCTTCTTAGGAGCTTCTGAGTGGATTCAAACTGCCAACCTTCTGTAGGTTAGTGGTCGCTATGAGTCGGAATCACTCAACGGGAATGGTTTTTTTTTTTAGTTGAGCGCAAAGGAGCCCTGTTGGCGTAGTGGTTAACCCACAAGCTCCTGTGCAGGAAAAAGATGTGGCAGTCTGCTTCCGTAAAGATTTACAGTCTTGGAAACCCTGTGGGGCAGTTCTTCCCTGTCCTATAAGGTTCACTATGAGTTGGAATCGGCTTGACGACAGTGAGTTTTAGTGGAGTGCAAACTGATTGCGCCACCCAGTGACCTTCTCTGGGCCTAGGAAGCATAGAAATGAGGAGCTTGCTTACACCAGGCGTTCTGAGTGTGGTCACCACAGCTGCAGCATCAGCATCACCTGGAGCTTGTTAGCTGAGCAAACGGGCCCCACCCCAGACCTGCTGAATCAGAAGCTCTGTATTGGGTGGGGGACAGCATTTGTGTTTTGACAAGCCCACCAGGTGAGTCTGAGGTCCTTATCCACTATGGAGACGGATGTGCCGGCTCAGGCTGGCGGGGAGGATGAAATGGACTCTGTGTTAGCTTAGCCCAGAGGCTGGCTCCAAGTAATTGCCTCGTGTTTGGTGGTGGTGGTTACTACCCCAGGGAGGTGAGCAAGGACTATAATCAACCATATATCATCCTAAACCTACACACACACTGTATGGTG